GTTGGGCATATTTTGAGGTGTGGTGACAGCAAAATAGCCAAACTATCGCTTCTGCATAGACCGTCTCGGAACTGGAAACAATCAAGAGGTAGAAAGCAACTGATATGGAAAGAACAAATTAAAACCGATCTTAAACTCGATCGATTTGATGAGATAATCAAAGGGCAACGTCAGCTTCTGGTTGAAGCATTAACACCACATCAAACATTCCAAAGCTGATACATTTTGACGATAGGACTAAACTGTGGCACATGTACGAACACAACGAGTAAGTAAGTCGGTGAACGCATCAAAAAACGACAATCTCAATCAATGATTGCTTCATTTGTTTGATAATAACTCTCTGAAGTGATGCCAATTATAAAGACTGTGCGTCATAGAGATAACAAAAAATAATCATTTACTTACAGTTTTTTGATCACAATGTGATAAAGAGCTGAATGGAATGTATCATTTGCATTCTTAACAAAACAGTGACATAGACGTTGATATCAGGATCATTTGAGGGGATTTATTCAAATGTCGTCAGAAATTGTTCGCTTCACATTTCACTATTGACAGTGATTATTTGACAATACTGGAAAAATGATAATAAGAACAGTAAAGATAACGATAATGATAATAAGGATAGCTCCAACAAAATTGATGACAATGACAGCAAAAACAATCACATTAATATGACAAGTAAAAGTAATAATGACGATAACAGTAATAAAAATACATTCTCCCTGCCATAATGAACACTTAAACTCGTACGATGTATCACTTTATGATGCTTCAATTATGTTCATTTCCACCACACAAACTGATAGCAATCATCGAATTTTATTGCTATTTTCTTCGGCATATTTCGCTTGAATTGTGTGAGGAATGTTAATTCCCTTCAGAATTTCGTCAGCAGAATTCAAGATAATTACCAGACGAATTTGCAAAGGAGTGAGATCACTCGGCTGATCATTCGAAAAATGTGATCAATAGATGAAACTACAGTAGGATTTAATTCTGCGACGATATTTGAAGATGATTAAAAGAAAAAATTTTGATATTAGGATCGAAAAAACCGACATCGTTCCGATCTATTAAGTCTTGCTAAGGTTCTTTCCAGATCTAAACGTGAAAATGAGAAAAATTCACATTGAAAATGTCTTAAGACGATACAAAATGGCACAAATATTTTTACTGGTCTACGACTGTGTACATGAAATGTTCTTGCAGATGTATGTATCTGTACTGACGTAAAGAAATGATTAAGTGCGTGATGCACAATAAATACAGCCATTTACCGTGCAACGCCTAAGAGGTAGCAAATATTTTTGTTTGAAATGCTGATGAGAATCTAAAAAATAATTGCATCAAACTGTAATCAAACGCGATGAATCATTTACAACTGTGTTTGGCAGCGAACGAAGAAGGCAACGGAAAGCTTGACAGCATTTCGAAACCTTCATTTATTCGCAAACATTTCTACATACAAACATATGTGCGCATTGTTTTCAATCAATGTCCACCTCAACACACTGGAAATGAGTAAGTTTCGCTACTATTCCCTGAGAGAGTTTTCAGCCCAGAAATGCTGCTTTTTTGCACGTTCTCACGCTGATAATTGTACTTTTACGCCCTTGCACTACATATCACCACAAGACAAAACATTTTAGTAGTGCAAAAAAAACAANGAAGAAGATGAAAGGTAGAATACTGATTGAATAATCCAACACGATATCGATCAATACTAATCATTATTAACAACAGCAAATTGCATTAAATTTCTTGTGGTAATAAATTGAAAATAGAATTCACGAGACAGGACTCACGGATTGCGTTGCGAAAGCCATCGATTCAGCAATCAGATCACTTCAATGAATGCAAAACCGCAAACTAATTTTATTCTCAACACTTCACAGATTCGAATCTTCGACCGCTATCCTTACACCGTTCCTTGTGTTTCTGAAACCATCATGTTTAGATACAGTGGGCAGTGGAATAATTTCAACAAGTGAAAACAATTAACATATGTCGCTATCAACAGCAAACTCTATTCTCATATATTTTTCTGAATATCTCCATTGAAAAATATCACCTCGCAACCGGCAAACTCTGCGCGCCACACATCATGCAACGGGGAGAGCAAAGATTTGAATGTTGTTGAAATTACGAAACGTTTTTCGCATTCGGAAGTCCGAGGAGGAGGATATATATATATATAATGGACATTTGAAAATTTCATCAATAAAATGCGAAACATACTTGCAGTGCTCGGTTTGTGGGATGCTTCTGCAGACGCGTCACGTGTGGGTGTGTCAAGAAATTTTTATACTGAAAGTTGGTTTTAACTTGATTCGAGTGACACATTCGTAAACGTGAATGTGCATATACTGAACGACGTCGTCGCATTTGAGTATGTTCTCAACGCGAGATGCATCGTTACAGGGACATGAATCCGTGATATTCACAATTAACAATCAATTTTTATCACGATATTTGCACGTTTAAAACGAACCAACATGATTTGAAATTTTAAAATTATTTCAGAAGAACTGAATGAGTTTTCCAGAAAATTTCATACCAGACTGGTCAATAACAAAATCTTTGCACTTGAAAATCAAACCAAATTATGCAAATTAATTGCACTTGAAAGAACTGGAGCAAAGTTAACTGCTAGAAACCAAAACAGATTCATCATAGCGAACCAATTTTTGTGAGCATTCGTTTCGGATTTCGACGAAAATTACAAGGATCAATATTTATGTGAAAGGTGATAACAGACTGTAAATTAGAGTGCTGTTTTTTCGTGAAAGACGAAACTTTTCTCCAACCCTGTGATGCACACAGGGTTGGTGAACAGTCCTATCTTAAAAGAAAATCTACGGAGAGGAGGGGAGGGGGAAGGGCTGGGGCTTGAAAACCTTCGTCTATTCCACAGAACATTATAAGTTACTGCCTTACTGCATCATACAAACGCCAAAAAATTATCTGGGTTGCAA